TAGGGGACACTACAATGCCCCGAGGGGGCAGGATTCAACAAAGGTTAGACACTTACAATCATAGACATATTCATCCGGTAGACAAAAGACAGGGTTAATAAAATATAAAACACAAACAGCAGAACAAACAATACTGGTGGGCGAAATATAAAGGGCACAAAATACAAAATGTCAAATAACAAGGAATAACAAGGCCTAGGTACCTGGAGAAGGGGGAGAGAGTGCCCCTTTCCACTGCAACAAGAATTTCTCCCTGTCACTTCACTCACCCCGAGTCATCCCAGCTGGGACTGGGACTTGAATTTGCATCTCCCACATGGTAAGCAGACACTCTGTCACACAGCCACCAGTGCTGGTGCTGGTGCTGCTCTGAGCTGCTAGGGGTCTTGACCTTCCCGGAGCCCCGGCCTCACATTGAGCTGCCTGGTCTCTTGGAGGAGCTGGAAGCAGAGCTGGGAACCTCTCAGGTCACTGCTCAGATCCTTGCTGGAGCTAGGGAGCCTCTCCTGCTAGCTGCAGCCTCTCATAGGTGATCCTGGAGCCCAGCGGGAGCCTCTCCTGCCAGCCACACACCCACGCTGCTGAGGGTCCAACTGCTGCCTGCAGGTCCCACTCCTTCAGGTGCTTCTGGGGCAACTGCTCCCACCGCACTAGCCCAGCTCTTTGCCAGCTCCTTGAAGCTCCTTCCTTGTGGTCCCTCACTGGTCTTTCCTGAGTCAGCCTCGCTATCCCTTTTATCCCCCTCCAGGTGACCCAAGGGGCCAATCAAAGGACACGGAGGGTGAGTCTCTGGGGCCTGATTGGTGAGGAAAGGGAATCCCAAGTCCTCCAATCATCTTTTACCCTTTCAAAACCCCTGGGCCAAATCACTACCAGCCAGCCCGTCACATTCAACACGTCTTTGTAAGCTCCAAGCAGGCAACAGGCTTTTGACACCAATTCCTTGAGTCCCAGCCTCATGTGCTCTGGAAAGAGCCACTGCTCAGCTCAAAGGAATTCCTTCATCTTGCTGCAGTGCTCACTTGCAGCAGAGTACTAACTTCAAGCAAGTTTGGTGCAAACATGGCCAGGCGAGTAGATAACTTGCATGAACCAGCTGGCACATTACAGAGGCCGTTCAGCCCTCAGCCAGCAAAGGGCTCCTTCATCCCCAGCATACAGGGAACACCAACACCTGCTGAGGCCACAGGGACCAGGCTCAGGAGGAAACCTGGTGTTGGGACCAGTCTGGGAGTGGGTGGAGGTGGGTGACCCGGGTAGCAAGCAGCTTGTGGGGTGCGAGCAAAAGGCTGGGAGCTGACTGGAGAGAGAGCCTCCAGTGGGGAAGAGGCCAGGAGCAGCTACAGCAGGAAGATGCAGGACAGCGGCACAGGCGCGCATAGGAGGACCATGGGGAGACATACTTAGATGTTTCCCTGCAAACCCCTGTAACGGGCTGCTGCTGTGGGCTGTCGGGAACTGCTGCTTAGATTTGCCACTGTGACTGTTGCAAGCAGGTGTGCCCAAGGTCTTTCCACCTACCATTTTAATACCTCTTTATATCTTCAGTGTGCGTGTAAACAGGATCCTCCCCACAGGACTACAGCCAGTGCTGCTCAGAGCAGGTAGGAGCATTACCCCGGCCTGGGGTGCTCCCAAACATCAGAGGGGACTGGCGTCTTCCCCCTCGCCTCTTTCCCCCCAATCTCTCCCCACACCAGGGTCTGTTACAGCCTCAAAGACAGCCTATAGCTCATTGTGACTCTGGGTAATTTCCATATCCATTATCACACTGAATTCAGCTCAGTCAGGTGTGACCTCATTCAGAAAAGGTGGCTGTTGGATGTTTCTAGCTAGAAAGCAGATCATGCTATGGCCTGGGCTAACATGCTGCACACCATTCTCAAGTGACCTCTGGAGAACTGCATGAATGATTTACATTACCGTCTTCTTTTGAGCTACCAAATAATAGGCAGGGGCTTGGGGTTCACTGAGCCCTTCCTGTGTCTCATGAATCCTGCAAGATAGCACAAGCTACACAGCCACAGCTACAAAATCAAGCTAAGGCTGGACTGGCAGTATCCTTAGCTCAAAGCGATTGGTTCTGATGAGTTGAGTAGAGATGATCAAAAGCTTTTCCCCTGAAAAAGTCATTTGTTCAAATAAATAATTCTTTTTAAAAAAAAATCAATATGCTGACTCTTTTTTTTTGCAAATTTGTCTAGCTTTTTATTTATTATTATTTTAAAATAGTTCTGTCCAATAAATATCTCAAGTGTTATTGAGACAGCTAATAGAATATTTTGTTTAGTGAAAACTGAGCATTTGCTAAATGAAAAAATGTCCTTGGTCATTCTGATGCCTTGCAAGAACAGAAGAAAATATCAGCAAAAAATGTCATTAGTATTCTCACTGGGTGTATTTCCAACCTGCGAAACCAAAGCAACATAGAACCATTACCATTTTAAATTAACTCAGGTTTCCATTTTTCAAACAGCTCAGCCATTAAAGCAGGTTCATTGCAGGATACTCTGATTTTAATTTCTACTGTGCTGATATAAAAAACACCAGTGAGCCTTTTTGTCTGTCTTTTGAGGCTCATTTTACCATTTGGTTAGGATTGCCAGGTTCTAGGCAGATTGCCTGAATTTATCTACACAAGCTGACCAAATATGCAGATTCTGTCACACTTTAGTAATGTGATACCTGAGTATTGTATGGTCTAATTCCCATTTGAGGCAAGCATATTCTACCTTTTTGTTGCACAGAGACTTTGGGCATAATGAAAGACATATTCTTTCCTCCAGAGAACAGCTGAGCTACTTTGAAAATGTCTGCATGTTCTTCAGCAAGACCGGGTTTTCACTCTCCACTGTATCTACTGCTGGCTACAGCTCTATCAGTTCAAGATCTAAATATAATCCCAAGGCTATAACTACTGGTGCCGAAATTCAGGCTTCCAAGTGATATCCTTTGTGGTTGCTTTCTGGCCTGCACTGTTGCTTTTTATTGTAAACTCCATGTACATTGTTAGTGCCCTTCAGTAAAACTGGAGATTGGAGTTTGCAGACTGCATTTTTTAGGTTTCTTGGGCTCTTATGTCAGTTTGAAATGTAATGAGAGCTCAGCAAATGCTTGGCTTGTGCCTGACATTGTTTGCCTGAATGTTGTTAGCAGTGACTGGGTATCAATAGGAATCATACTGTGTTCATAAACATTATTCCTTTTCACCTGTTGGCCAGTCCTATGCCAGGCTTTATTTGGACTAGAGCTGCAGGTGTGTATCAGTAAAGCCCTATAATGTGCCCAAGGAGAAAGGGCAGGGGATCAACACTATTGATTACTTAGTGATCAACTCTTGCTGTTCCTCCTCAGACAATCCAGCAGTGCTGAGTGATTAAAACCTGACCTGAGCCAATAAATTGAGCTACTTTTGCACCCCCTGTATTTATTCTGACCCGTGCCCCAGGGCTGCCTAAAATCATGTTGGTTTGTAATAGCCCTGGCTTTTTCAGCGGCCCAGGCCCCTTACAAAAGGGATTGCACAGAAGAGTGGGGTAAATCTGTTTTGCACCTCTTGTACAACCCAGTTATCCAAAAGGCATTTTATTGCAGCTGGCTCCATCCTTACCGTTCCTTTATGCCATCTAGTTGGTGTGAAGGAACCACAGCATGTTGCATAGTGTGACCCTGAGGGAGTCTGCCCTGCCTTTGTGGGATCTCTTAGCCATTTGTATCTGTTTCGGTTCACGAAGTTCACCATCCCCAACAGAATGCATTTCATTCTCACCAGGCCCAATGTCATGAGTTTGTCCTCTTAACACCTCAGCCTGAACACAGTCAGAAATTAATGTGAATCTCCATCATAGTGTCCATTCCTGTCCCCGCAGGCTGAGGGGCAGCTGTGCTCCAACCAGCCCTCTTAAGATGGAAAAGAGCCTTAAAAATTTTGGACCTGAACCCTATGCAGAATCACCTTATGAGATGGGGGAGGAGACGTTGCCATAGGTTGCCTTCTCCAGCAAGTCTGTGCTTGAGGGGCACAGGGAGCAAAACGGGATGTTCAGGACCCATTCTGAAAAGCACTGATGTCAGTGGCAGGTTTTCACTTGGAACAAGCCCTGAGTGAAGGGCCATGTGTAAAATGCTTGATTCATAGGTGTGCTTGCAGCTCCCAAACTGCTTTCACCTGTGGGATCGTAGGCCCTCTCCTTGCTCAGTGGGTTGCTTGCCAAACCCATTTTCCACCTGAGGGTGCTCAGCCATACTGGACACAAGACCATGCCTGCATCCACATCTGTCCAAGTTTATCAGTCTCCAGGGAATCTGAGCAGGAGGTGTCTGGTGGTGTGGGTGAACCTTACAAGAGTGGGGGTGATTTGCCTGGGGAGGGATCTCCCAGTGCAAATGCTCAGCAGAAGCTTATCTGAATTGTCTTTTGGCTTGTTTTTTGTTTGGTTTTTTTGGGGGGGCGGTTGTTTTGCAGATTGGCCCATAACAAATTCATAGTTGCAGCTGAAAATTAATAGTGTGATAACCAGAAATAACCAGCCCTGATTAAGAGAGAGGAATTAACAATGTAATATTTAACTGGACTCCCTAAACATGACAGATTGATTAAAATGTAATGTACCAAAAAAAGAGGAAAAGACCATACAGAGAAGGCCAGATCCTCATGTGGTGTAACACAGCAATGCCCCACTGGCATCAGCAGGCTATCTGATTTATGCCTGAGGAGGGTCTGGCCCCACAGAGCTAGCTTCTTGCAAAAGGAAACCCCACCACAATGGTAAATGTGTTTCTCCATGGGAGAAAGCATGGAAGGAGAAAGCCATGCCAGAAGCTGCTCCCTCTGCACCTTGAAAACAACAAACTCAAAAGCTAGGACACGGTAAAGGAAGCTGGGCAGCAGTAGAGACCAGCACGGCAGATATGTGCTATGGCTCTGGAGTCATTGTGGTAAAGTCCACCTCCATAGTTGACAACTGGAGAAATCGGTTATATTCCGCCTTGGCAAACCCATGCGCTGCCAGCAGTGGGGGAAGATTAAACAGCAGGAAATTAGCCAAGGCCTGAAGAGCAAGCATGTGCCTTTTGGACGTAATCATGTTCCAACACCAGAAAAGGTCTGATCATCACAGTTTTGGTGATGGTCCCCAGAGCTTTTCCATCTGAACTGTTCTCGTTTCATGCTCACTTGCAGTCTGCTCAGAACCTGTGCATAAGTCTGAGCTCACCCGCACGTGCTGCAAGTTACTGAAATGTTTCCTTTACCTTTCTCCAGAGGGCCTTAAAAGAAAATAATCCAGAACAAGGAGAAACCTTTACTTCAAACTTCTCTACCTAATGGTTTTTTTCCTCTTTCTCTTGCAGTTGGGAAGACATCCCTGATCACAAGGTTCATGTATGACAGTTTTGACAACACGTATCAGGTGAGACCTTTTCTCCTCTCTTTTGGCACTGGAGTATTGCTCACCTCTGTGGCCACCTACCCCACTGATTGATAACCATGCCCTTTGCAGAGCACCAGAGTCAGTTTGCAACTGAAGTAAGAGGCTGGTAATGGATGTGCAGATGTTGCTCACATGTAAATCTAGCATGGTGACCTGAGCTGCCTGGTTGAAGATTAGCATTGGCATCTATGTACTTGCATCTGATTCTTTATACGTGAATGAAATCAGCTGGGCCTGCTAAGGGAGGCTCCCAGCTGGTGAATAAGAGTGTGTACAGCACATGCATTTCTATTAGGTGCTTAAACTGGCTACCAGCCAGCTTCCTGGTAATGACTGATATGAGTGCAGTCTGGTTTCTGCTTACATTACCTATTCTCAGGCAGTGCCGTCCTTCCCCCTGCAGCTGCAGGCACTGATGCTCCTTACAGCCATCCTAACGAGACCGCTCAGCACATTTGGTAGGTTTTTTTTCTTACATGAGGTTGGTAACCATGATTGCTTGGCATTCTAGATGTGTGCTGATACGGCAGCTGTGATTTTTCTCAGATTTTTAAAAGTCTCCACTGATACGGTTGATCAGAAACCATTTCTTTGTTTAAAGCTAGAGGCTTGACATTTCTCCCAGTATAAATCAGGAATGTTCCCACTGTAGTGAATGGAATTCCTTCAGCATAAAGCTTAAATTGGAGTAGAACCAGACCTGAATTCTTTGTATCCCAACTCCGCTTTGTGCACCAGTTTCTCACTGAAGTGCCTTGGAATGTAAAAGAAAAAAGGCTGTACTTCTTTTTTTTCTTTGGTGCACGCAAACCATGGGATTTCCCATCTTTCTTTCCTTTGCTTGTGGGATGAACAGTATCACCCCACAACCAACAGAAAACACCTTGTAACTGCCTCCAGATGTCTCATATATCTCCCCCTTTCACTACATCTCCATGTTCTCCAGACTTGTTTGCATCAAGAGGCTTTGCACTCATCCAGAGATGGATGGAAAAAGAAAAATGAAATGTCATTTAGCTAAGAGATGAAGATATCAATCACAGCATGTGTATGCTGGCAGCTCCTGTTACAAAAGAACTAACATGAACTTTTAAGTGATGCATGGCCTAAAAGTCTTGCCTCCATGTTAATGATGTTAGAGAAATTTCATGGCTGTAGGAATCCATCTGTGGTCCTTCAGAAGCCAGCCCTTCACGATGATACATGAGACCAGATCGGGAGTAGATGTCTTAGGGACAAGAGAGCAGGGCAGTGGTAATACTTAAAGCTTCTACAAGCCTTGCAGAGTCCATATGCATGCCTACTGCATCTTTGCAGCAACCACACCTGCCCTTGCCTGCAGCCCACACAAGTCCCTTTTGAGGGGTATTCCCCTTCCTCCATTTACAGGAGCTGGCAGCAGGACCTAAGGGCAGGATTTCCTACTTGTGCTCTACCTACACAGAGCTCAGGGGGCAGTGGAGAGGCAAACTTTTTAGGCAGAGCTAAGACATCATAGTATTGCTGCTAGTATATGGGACCCCTGCACACTTTGTTCAAAAGGTTTGGGGTTTAGATCCCAATGTGCATGTCACACAAAGATACCAGAAACAGACTCCAGCTGGCTGGCTTGGCCTACCCCAGATTGTTTTCGAAAGATCAGAGCATGAGATGTCTCTGAAAAAGTAAAAAAGCTCTCAACGAAGAGAACTTAGGCTATTGTTATGACAGAGCTCCCAAAGGGCCAGGGAGCAGTGCTGATGGATTAGAGAGCATATCTGGGAGACCTGGAGAAATCTAGTCGGCACGTCCAGCTGGAAAGGAGAAGTGGAGATTCCCTCGGTATTTGGGAAGCTGCCAGGTGGCATAAAGCAATCACTGGCTAGTGTGAGGACCTTGGCGGCTATGCCAGGGACCAGTTTGTGTGCCACACCTGTGGGTGGGGCAGAGCCATCACCTGAGACCTGTTTTTTGATGAATGTACTCTTCCTATCTAGACTAGAAATCCAGGCCCCATCAGCCAAGGCTGGGCCAGGCTCATTGGTGCCAACTGGAAGGCCAGAAGGGAACAGTGCACCACGTTGAATGGGTTGTATGTCAGGGGCAGGGATGGAGCATGTGGTACTCTAGTCAATCCTTGGCCAGCAGAATGGTCCCTGTGGCTCCTCTGCATTCTGCCTGGGGCCAGTCCAGTCGGGTTGCTCCCCAGAAGTAGACAGGTGGTTTGGAGGTGCTCTTCAGGTGTAAGATACATAAATAAAGCAATGTTTACCCACTACAGAGTTATCAAATCCTATACCAAGCACATTTCCCCTGTGTTAACAAACAGAACGTTAGCTAATTAGAATATATTGGCCCAAGGACTCTTAGGCAAGAAAACTTCTATGCCTATCACTTACCTTAAACTGAAAGTGCCATCATGCTAATGATTACACTTGAGTGCAACTGCTGAGAAGTTGGAGCAGTTTTCCTGGGCAAAAGTGGAGAGAAAGGGGGAAGATGCTGAAGCAAGCAAAACAGAGAATTTGGTCATTGTCATTGTCATTTTTGTGAAATCCCTACTTCCCTCCCTGCTTTCCTCTTTGTTCTCAGTGCCTGACCTGGAGACATTTTTTATTTCCTCCGATTAGGGAAAGGGTCATGCAGGTATTTGACTTTTTTGGTGGAGTGGGGGTGGGGGTTTGATTTGGAAGTTGAACCCAAACAAAAAAGATCCCAGAAACATCAAAAGGAATTTCAGTTCAGTTCAGATCAGACCAAACTGGATGTTTTTTTCCCAAAATGAAAAAGCTATAACATTTTAATTTGTTCAGCCCAGAATTTTCCATTCAATCCAAACTGAACCATTTCATTTTGGTCACTTATTTAATGAAAACATGACATTTCTCACATCCTGGGTAAGGGTTCTTATCCTTTGGCTGTTGGATAAAGGTGGGAAACCATCTACCCTCCTGGTAGTTTTGTGAATAAAGCCCCAAATAGTGTCACTTTTTTAGAATCATAGAAAGAGAGACCAGAAAGGACTTGTAAGATCATCAAGTCCAGTCCCCTGCCATGGGCAAGAGTTAACTGGGCTCAAACAAGCTCAATGAGGTACTTGTCCAGCCTCCTTTTGAACATCTCCAGGGATGGCGACTGCACCACCTCTGCTGGGAGTGTGTTCCAGATTCTAGATACCCTTACGGAAAATAAGTTTTTCCTCATGTCTAGCCTAAATTTTTCCTCAGCTAGCTTGTGCCTATTGGTCCTCATCCTCTGAAGGGGTGCCTTTCTGAAGAGTTGCTCCCCTAGGTCATGGTGTTCGCCCCTGACATACTTATAGGCGGCTATCAAGTCACCTCTCAGTCTTCATCGTTTCATAGTAGCTAGGGTCAGGAGGGACCTGAACAGATCTTCTCTTACTCAGACTGAACAAACCCAATACCCAGAGTCTCTCCTCATAGGGCCTATCCTCCAGGCCCCTGATTATGCAGGTGGCCCTTCTCTGTACCCTTTCGAGTTTATCCACATCCTTCTTGAAGTGCCCAGAACTGGAGCTGTGGCCTCACCGACACCAAATAGAGCGGGGAGGAGCACCTCCCTGGATCTATTGGCAATACATTGACTGATGCACACCAGACTTGTATTTGCCCTGCTGGCGACTTCATCGCACTGTTGGCTCATATTCATCTTCTGGTTGATTGTCACCCCCAGGTCCCTTCCAGATGCAGTGTCAGCCAGTGGACCACCTCCCATCGAATAGTTGTGATGAAGGTTCTTCCTACCCAGATGAAGGACCCAGCACTTGTCCCTGTTGAATCCCATCTAATTGCATTCAGCCCATAAGGCCAGCCTGTCAAGGTCATCCTGAATCCTTACCCTGTCCTCAGATATGCCCTCATTTCCCCACAGCTTGTTGTCATCCGCAAACTTAATCATTGTGCTTTCCACTCCCTCATCCAACTCATTGATAAAGATGTTAAAGAGCACGGGCCCAAGCACTGATCCCTGGGGGACACCACTGGAGACAGCCCTCCAGGATGAGGCCATCACATCGATTACAACTCTCTAGGATCGGCCTCTGAGTCAGTTGCCAACCCACCTCACTGTAGACTGGTCTAGGCCAGTACCCTCCAACTTAATTGAGAAAATCTCATGGGAAACAGTATCAAAGGCCTTGCTGAAGTCTAGGTAGATGATGTCAACCTCATGTCCCATGTCCAGCTGATTAGTTACCTCGTCATAAAAGGACACCAGGTTTGTTAGGCATGACCTCCCTTCGACAAAGCCATGCTGTTTGCTTATTAATACCCCACTAGCTACAAGCTTGTGGTTGATGGCCTTCTTCTCAATTTTTTCAAAGATCTTTCCCAGGACCAAAGTCTGACTGACTGGTCTGTAGTTTGCAGGGTCGTCCCTCTTCCCTTTCTTAAAGATGGGTACCACGTTAGCCTTCATACGGCTCCAGTTGTTCGGGACCACTCCTGAGTTCCGTGACTCTTGAAACAGCCTCGCCAGAGGCACCGCTATGAGCTAATCCAGTTCTTTCAGGACTCTTGGGTGCAGGTCATCTGGCCCAGCAGACTTGAAAACATACACATGTCCTAAGAGTGCCTTCACCTGTTCAGGACTGATTTCATGTGGACAACCAAGTCTTTAGTCCTGGCTGCCTCGGTCAGTTCCCTGGAGAATGCCTGGTCACTCTCCCCTTCTTGGTAGAGAGGTCTATAATAGACTGCCACCATCAGGTCCCCTTCTCCTAAGCCCCTTTGTATCTTGACTGAGAGGGTTTCAGGGGACCTTCCCCATGCAATCAAACGTGACCCGCAGGGAGGGGTACTGCTCTTTCACATAGAAGGCCACCCCTCCACCCTTCTTCCCAAGCCGATCCTTCCTATAGAGCCTATAGCCCACAATATCCACTGCCCAGTCATATGTCTTTTTCCCCCTGATCAACATTTTTCAGCAAACCTGACCCAAATTCACAAGTACAGTAAAAGCTCTGTTATCCGGCATCCCCC